ATATACATTATACACCATAAATGATATATTACATACGATATTATACGTAATACTCGTCATTGTAATCGTGTAATTATTTCACGTCCCCGTACGTACATGGGTTTAATTTACGAGGCTGACAAATACCCAATACATATACCTCGACGGTGTGAAACGTTTCGTAGTGTTCATTAATATATAAATGTACATATATGTATAAACATAGTACATACTGTATACATTATTCACATACATATACATGTTTATATATATTTTATATTTACAACACACACTATATATAATACCGACAACCCTCGCATCGGCGGCGGTGGCGGCAATAATAATTCAATTAACGCCACTCGTACCTATATACGTATTTACCGGCGGGGCGGTGGTAGGTACTAGGTAACTCTACTCCGGGGCACTCGAAGTTTCGATGATAATAATATAAAATCGCCGTCCTTGTGTACGGGCGTATTTCATTTACCTACCTTCCTATGAACGTTCAGTCGACCACGTCATCATCAATCACGTCACATTATATCGCGGTCAGCACGTATTATACATTCAATATTGGACATAGGCGGATATTGCCATATCGCATACGCATACGTGGGGCGCGCCTTGCTTATAAAGCATTTTATATTAAAATAATATAATAAAATATTAATATTATTATTATTATTATATGAACGCGACTATACCCCCCGTACCATATTATATATATATAATTTTGGCTCACGTTAAATCCACCGGAGTCTCGTGTGTGCTGATATTTTGCCCAGCAACGTTTTATGTATAATATTGCTGTGTAGAATACCTACCCACACATATATAGTAGGTACATATATATTTTGTTTTCTATATTACTATTATCCGGAAACATGAAAGGCGCCTTTCCCCCTCCATAATCGGTTTACATCGCCGCCGGTTAAGTCACTATACGTATACATAGGTATACACCCGCGCACACAACCCTTTGAAATACGTACATTACACCAATACTAGCGTTCTAAACAGTTCCACCCCTAATATATATATATATATTTGTGCATAGGTATCATGACGGTTATAAGGGCGACTTGTATACACGATCCGCAACACGACCCATGATATACGTTTACGTGTAGACGTGTAGTTATGTATTACACGAGTACACGACGCCGATGCAGTTCCTCTACTGATGCTGATGCAACTATATAATGCACCAGTAGCCGTATGTGGTGTGTAGTAACATAAATGTATACTTTGTTTTACTTGTACTACAGCAGTAAACATAAACCTCTAGCGAACAGCACAACAATAAAAATAAACACCTCGATTTTATAGTCGCAATAAATCCATCGACGATGGGCATCTTCTCCACGAAATGCAGTCGGAAATCCGTCGTCAAACGACTGTGGGCACACTTTTCACAAAAATCGTGTCTCTCCTTCCCTGGTCATCACAACATTCACAACGTCTCTGCTCTGCTGTACTTTACACACCAGACGTCCATAGGCTCACATTAAATCTAAACCTTGAGAGTGCTAAAATTGTTTACCTCAAGGTGGCCGTGAGGGCTTTGCCCCTTATTACAAAACAACTACTCTACAAATACAATATTTTTAAAAAGTTTATCACTGAATATTTTGTTAAATTAAAAAAAAAAAAGTTTAACTTGTTTGGACGTTTCATTAAAATAATAGTACATTGAAAATATTTATTTTAATACAATAAGTAAATATTATGTTGCTGTAGTGCAGCTGTATACTAAAACAACCATGGTCACAGTGATTTTATGGGCCTAGGCCACATGGATCATATAGGCCATTAGGCAAACCTATTAACTATAGCACACATGACAAAGCATTTTTCATTGTTTATATGCGTGTGTTTTATTTCAGCCAGTTGTCTGAGAAATATAAAGTGGCATATTCTTATCATATACATACGCGTTAGACAAATCTGTCGTACGCAATAATAATATATGATATTTTCGTTGTATTTAAAATATTTTAGTTCAAAATAAGAGTGAGGGGAGGGTGGTGTTGCAATTAAATGGAAAGGGAATTTTTAGCACCCCCATGCTCCTACGCGTGTGCGCTTGTCAAATCAGACGTCCACCTGCGTGTGCTCGTTTTAACCACTTCGAAAACATTTATAATTGAACACTATCACTGCTATACTTCTATAGTGCTTTATCACAGAATATATATAAATAAATATATATATAATATATATATTATGCATTAGTTTAATATCATACCGTGCTTTGATCTCGAAACTTGTACCACAATACTTGCTGGGTTGAACATTACCCTCGAGGTGCAGAAAACTTGGCTTTGGCACCGTGTGAGACGCATTGCGGTCAACTTCAGTGTGGCGTTCGCGTAAATAATAATAATAATAAAACGAAATATACGACGCTATTTCACTCGGCCAAAAATCGCCTGGCCCGCTAATAATAAAACAATTATTATGTTAATTCGAGCACAATTCTGTATACGTATTGAAATATCGTACCTGCTCTCGACGCGTACTTTTACACGATGTTTGTTAATATTTAAATGCTATGTGGGTTAAATTTCGGCGGTGGCGATGGTCGAGACGGACTCGCGAGCCAAAAAACACTCACTCACCGGCGTTAGGTATGTTTGGGGGTGATTTCTCGGCTGGTCGGAGCGGCGGTCGTGACATAAAGCAATTATAAATTATAATTCGTCTGCAGTTGATGAATAAATTACGTCAGGGCAAACGGCCGTAATCCTTTGGACGGAATATGGCTTGTAAATTTTCGAACCCGTGGTCTGGTGAAAAGTACCGCCTGTAATAATAATTGTCAGTATATTATTGCACTGCTGCGCACCTCGAGTGTACCAACCTGCATATATTATTAGTATGATTTTGTTTTTTCACAAACCTCTTTATATTATTATATAATTTGTTAGAAAATTTTTAGATTTTGTGCACACAGATAAGTTGAAGAATTCATAACTCTATGTTTGTGGAGTTCTTTTGTTATTACATATTCTATCGTCCTACACGCGTATGGAATAGCAAATTTGTATCCACTAGTTTAAATAGTGAGCTGTTAGTTTTGATATTAGAGTGAATTGACCTATTATTAAACTTCTAAGTAAGAATATTATCATTGGCTTTTGTTCGATATTTTAATTTGCAAGCGAGATATGATCATTTTTAAATTCGTGATAGTTCACATACCCATATATTATCTTGCTTGAAAATTAAAATATCGAAAAATCGTCAACGCTTAGGCACACATAATGTTCTCACCTAAAAGTTTCGAACTAGGACAATTCACTCTAATATCAAAGCTTACAGCACACTGTGGAAACTAGTGGATGAAAATTTGCCATGCCGTACGTTTGTAAGACAGAGACAACAAAAGCATGGATAGCGTCCTCTTAATAGATATAATGCAACTATTTATACCCCACGATCAAATTACATGTGATGTCTTAAATATAATCCCACCACCTGTTCATTATAATAATAATATTATGTAAAAATATAAAGCGCCCTCTCGGACTATCTGGAAATAGTTTTATTTCCCAATGCTAGGAATATAATAGTATTATTACACAAACAAGTTTTGTTTATTTCCGCGGTGTATGAAAATATAGTACAGTCGACGGTCGTCGCAGAACCAATTACTTTATTCTACACATCGCTATTGGCAGGGAAGAAAAGAAACTACTGCAGTAATATAAACTTGTCAGCCGTCGCCATTAAATAATACATCACCGTAACTTCACTGTTACACGTATTGTATCAATTTAAATATACAAATGTGTGTATGTACCTTTATAACGTGTAGGTACTAACTCCGCCGTTATTCGCTGCAGCTGTAAAACCACTCGCAAACTTTTCGCTTTTTAAATCGCGTGTAGGTACGGAGAGTTTTTATTAATAATAATAATTGCGCGTTCGAAGGGAAAACTGTTTTTTCACTCCGACTTTCGAGTAGGTATACCTATGTCGAAACGATTATTGCTGTTGAAGTTGCTTTTTTTTCTCCTCTAATACTTTTCAATAGATAATCGAACGTGATTCGCGTGTTTGTGGTGTTCGGCACACACGGGCGATTACTACAGTTGTTGGTAATTTTGGATAATAATAATATAATATACAATCCAAACAATTAAAGGATACCACTGTAAAGTTTTCTGTTCAACTGATGATTTGTTTGCGCGAATTTGTTGAAACATATTTCATTTGACTGTCAGCCGTATATAATAAGCGATGACGGTTTTATTTTACCCTGCTCTCTTCTTTTTTGCTAAACGAGATTAAGCTGCTGTTGCATGACATGCACGAAACCGAAACATTGTTCCGAAAATAACATTGAATCTTTCGTGTATTGTCCGAGATATAAATTGCATTCCCTGGTTTTCCCCCGCAAAAATTATAACTGCTTTAACTTGTAAACTTTATTACTCTGTTACGCGTCAGCTGCAGTACGAGCTATACGACGAACGGTACTTATTACTGCCGCCGCCGCCGCCGCCGCCGCCGTGCATGTAGTTTTCTGTAATCCACCAGACAGTTTCCTCGAAAAGCGATCCCGGACTAGTTTTGATTTATTGTTATGCCGGGACGACGGTTTTCATTTTCAGAAATCGTAACGATATGTGTAGACGTGTCGATAATTATAATATTATACGGATGATCTACGCCACCTTGGCGTCATACATATTCTATGATGATTAACTAACCAGTGCCTACCACTACCTTGTTCAAGGGGACGAGATAGAATGAGAGAGAAAGAGCCATGCGCTTGGGAGTGCCGTGGGGGAACATTTGCGTTTTGGTTTTTCAGCCATGCGTATAAATGACTTATCCTGCTCTATAATATTGAGATACGTATGGATGAAAAACTTAACGAAAATGGTCCTCCATGATATCACCCGACTCATAGTTGTTTCTCTCTCGGACCTCGTCCACTGGTTTCGTGTATTTTCGTCGGTACACAAGTAATCAGTAATCGGTATTCTAGTAATTAAATTTTTTTTTTACAGCTTGCAATCGAACTTATTACGGAGATGTCGGAAAAACGTACGAATTTGAATTACATCGTCCGAAACCCGACAAGTTGCCATTCGTCTGCTTTATAAAACTCGTGGCACCAGGTCATCATTTGGGAGATCTTATACAAGTGAGCATATAATAAATAAACACATTAGTAATTTTCTTAAAGTTAGAGTCATTTAAGTATGAAAAAAATTAATATGGTTCGTACATTTTTAACTTTCGACACGACAAGATGGAATTTAATTTTTTATTATATACTTAAAATTAGAAGATCCAAATTCTCAGCTTGAAATTCAAGGTACAGCATAATTCTTATAGCAGTATACATTTATTTTCTCAAAAAAAAATTTATATTTTTGAAAAGTTTTTTTTCATATTATTCAAAGCCATTACAAAACAATATTTTTACTATTTTCTATAGTCATCATTTTTTTACATTTTTGTACGACAGTACCTATACATTTAAATGTCATATTCCATGTAGAATAAGTATCTAAGGAGTTCGATGTAGGTATGTTAAAATTGAATTTCGATTTTAAAACAACTAACAGTATATTAGATAAGGTTATAAGTATTTAAAGTTTAAATGTGCGAAGTGGAATAGCATGATGGACGATGGTATCACCTGGAAATGGAGGTTAACCACTAAACTCGTCAAAACTTTTAACGCTGTCATTATAATGTTGTAATTAAAGAATGTAAGAAAAAACTTTAAAAATTATAATGATGAAAAATTGTAACAAATGTAATTGTTTTCAAACATTTGGTTTTATATTTATAGTGATATCAATTGAGTAAAAATTTGCAAAAATGTTATCAATTTTTGAGGTTGCGAGTGTTGTGTTTAAAAAAAATTATCCTATATAAAAATTATTTTAAAGTATAAGTAGGTTGCATATTTTGAATTTTTGAATATTGCCATATTAAGTTATCTATAGAATATTTTGGGGATTATCTATAATTTAAATAATTACTTTAAGTCTTAAGTATTATTTATGCTACAGTTATAACCTTTTTATGTCTATAAATTATAATACATTATTTACCATATGCTGTGTCATGTTACAATACAACTGTTATAAATCACGAATAAATGTAATTTAAAAGTAAATTTAATTATGATATTGTTATTATTATTTATAAATTGACAATTAATGTATTTAATCTCAGGGGGTAGGTACTGCAATAATTTGAAGGAAAGCTTTTACCATTAGAATGAAAATAAGTATTAATAAATATTAAATCATGTAAATTATGTAAATTTGAAATTATTCAAGTATTACTTTTGGAGTAAATAATATTTTAGCATAATGTCAATGACAGTACTATAAGTTATTCAATTCAGCTATAAATCCACTTGAAGAGATAAAGTGGATCCATTTTACTTTTAGAACACAAAATTCAATAAATGTGAATTGAATAATCGTATTAATATATTATATGAATTTTGTTTACTATGCTAGAAACTAAAACGATAAATATATTAACTACAGAAATCGGTTATTCAATTACAATTACTCATATTATGTTTCACATAATATGTTTAGTTATTCTAATGTTGTGACATAAATTAGATTGTTTAAATGCAACAGAATATACTGTATATTATAAGCACCACATAATTGTATAATTAATTGGCAGTGAAAATGTATCGTTTTAATGCGTTTATTTACTTATTTTTTAAATAATTGATAAGATTGACCGTTATAAATGATAAAAGTTATTTTATTCTGTTAAAAATGTACAGAAGAATCGCAAAAAATGAAGACCAACTCGTATGAGGTAGCGAGAAAATATTATTATGGACGAAGAACGTATTGTAATATTAAAAGAAGGATTTTTATAAATTATCTTTATAATATCTTTAACGTGTTCGGGGATCAAGATCGGCCGGTATACTAGCTCCCAGATAGGTGTTTACCATCCGAATTTTTAGTGACGAATCCTCGCCCCATAAACACATGTTTAAAACTAACTGTACCCCCCTCCCCCTCCATCTCGCAGTAAAAACCGTCTAATAAATATTCAATTGATCTTTTAAAAATAATAATAATAACAAATAAATTATAATACAAATAGAGCCAAAAATGTATAACGATTCATCAATTTAGAACAGCTGGGCCGATTTGGCTCAATTTTTTTTTTAATTGTTCGTAATTGTCAGAAGGTTTTTAAGAAAAAAATTTTTGGAAAAATCCTTTTTTTTTTAAGTTTTTGATGATTTATTTTTTGTGTTCCGGAATGTTTTTTCGAATTGAAAAAGCTACAGCAAACTTTAGCTTATAAAATTGTCCGTATGACATAATTAATCGTTAAAATGGGACCCCCGGCCAACACCAAAAAAATTGATCAACATGGAGAAATATGTCGTGTATTAAATATTAGGTATTAATATTATGTTTCACTATATAAAGTAAAGTTTAAATTTTGTAAAGTGATTATTTTCAAATCGTTTTTATTCCGTTCGATTTTATTTATAGCGGTAAGTGCCCTCTCATTACACAGAACGCAACAGTCGATAGTAGAGATAAAATTTATGTTTTATCTATAATTATACGATTATTATTTTATAATTATTAATTTTCCGTTGTTTGCGTTACCAGAAAAACTGCGTGTGTACAATTTTATTTTACAAATAAGCAATCATTTATTTAATACCTGCATTTCTTATAACATGAATGTTTAATTAATTTAATCATTATTAGAAAAAGTAAATGCCAATATTGTTTAAATTTTTTGTTGTCATAGTAAAAAAACAAATTAAAAATTATCCATCAATATAATATAATATTGCTGACATAAAAATAAAAAATAAAAAAATAATATTACTATAACTAAAATTTAAACGTAAGTTACTACATGGACTTAACAATCTTTTTACGCTCCCATAATTCCAATTCATTTAAGAGACATCTAAGCAAATTATCAACAATTTAGTTGAACAGTCCAAATCAAAGGCCAAGATTAACACAAAGTTAGATTGAGGGCAACCTAACCGATGCCAAACGAACCACATACATTTTTACAAATTTACTTAACACGTTAAACGCCGACGTCAATGCGTCGTTGACACGACTAAACGGGAATATTAATATTAATATTTGGTTATTTTGTTATTTTTATAGGCCGTAATCACATTGCTCCATTTCTCTTTCAATCATATGCCAGTATACAACATTCCCACACACGCACACAATAATTTTGGATTTTTAAGTTATTTTACAAAAATATTCTTTCGAAATAATTTATATGGCAAAACAACTTTTACCGTAGGTAGATTGCCCAACAGATAATATACTGCTCGCATTATCACAATCAAGTCTATAATCTCATGTGGAGATTTGAATTTACTAATTTAGTAAAAAATATTGATTTGAGTGAATAAGTGAAGCTATTAAATTTGTAGATACCTATTTGAAAAAAAATATGTATACAACTTTTTTTTGTACCTGCAGACTAAAGTATTATAGATACAGTATATTGTTTGTGATAAAGGCTTGTTGTATTTGATTGAAAACAATTTATTATGTTAATGGATAGTTATATCTAAAAAATTACTGTTTCGATTGTGAATTTTAAATTGTGCATAATATAATACAACTGTTTTTGTTCAAAGATCACATCTGTATTTCAACCCATGTTTTTAATGAATCAGTTATTTTATTTCATCAGCCTTTAATTAAACAATAAAGTTGTATGAATTACTTTCAAAATATACAAAATTATTGAATATGAAACATATATATAACGCATTGTTAATAAGATAGAGTGAAATAGTACCAATTGTTTATTTTAATGGGATTGATTTAGTTGTAATATTAATTTAAATTTAATAAAAAATAAATGTAATATTATATAAATAATTTAAAAACAGATGCCGTAGTTAACTATGATTGTCTCAAAGGTTACTTTTAAGTACAAGAAGAGATTACGACAGCTGTTGAAAAATATTGAATAAATATCAGCTAGCGGTTTAATCGAATTCAGCCGAGAATCATTTTTCCAACTAAATGATTTATTATGCAATTGCTTTGAAATTTAATACACCGATATCTCGGGTCATAGTGAACAAAGCGAAGCGAATAAGTGAAAAAACAGTTTTGAAAGTTGTCAGCTGTTTTTTAATCACCTAATTGAGGATATTACATTTATTTTTAATTTAAATTTTTAATTATGATTTGTAAAATCAAAGACAAAGTGCGTCAATAGGTATAAAATTAGTTTAGTATTTAACCAATTTAAGTTTTTAAATTAATTATCAATGGAGGATTTAATTAGTGAGTAATAATATAATATAATAACTATAATATAATATTTTAAAATAATATTAATTATATAATATACTTTTTGAAAAGAACAAAATGGGGTAAAACAAATTATGATACGTGGTAGTGATATTGATCAATGTTAATGTCCCAGAAAATAAAACAGTCCGTGCCAATTTTACTTTTGCGAAAAAGGTCGTGAGATACATACATATGTTGTATTATAATTTATTCGGAAAAGCAAACTTGCATTTTGAGAACGGCGAATTTTGATTACAGTGCGGACGGGTATTTGTGTTCGGTTGGCTAACGTTGTTACACTACAAATGAAACTAAAGTGAAAATCGTTTAAATATTTTTTTTTATTAAATTCGAACGATTAAGGTTCGGTAAAAATACATTTTCAATTTAAGAGAGTACCACATCTCGAGTATGAATTACGTAGCATACATTACATTTAAGATTATACTCTTGTATAAATAGAAAAATCGGTTTTGTGTAGAACCTAAAATATATATAAGTTACCAAACGTTACTAGACTTTATTGATTTAATATCCTGGTAATAAAATATCAACTATAAATATCGCGGGGTGTAAATAATAATTGTTAAGATTTTTAACCGAATTGCCTGTAAACTTTATTTAAAATTAAAACATTATGCCACGTTATATACATATACAGCTATATCCTGTGTTATATCGTAAGCAATCTATAAATACAAATAGAAGACGTTAAAAGTATTATAAATAATTTGGTATTTTGAACTTATGATTGAAAAATTATAATAGTTTTCCTTTTAGTGAATATATTACAATGGTTTTTTTAGGGTAAATAATATGAATATTACCATTAATCTAATAATTAAATTATTTATTTCCTTTATACTTCAATTTCTCTGTAGGCACATTATTTAATCACGACTGATAATCCGTTTCAATATTGTTGACCTGTCGTAAATCTCGCAAAGTCTTCCAAAAGTTCGATGACGAAGAAAAAGTTTTTCAGCACTATATCTATACATATAGTCTAACTTCTAAAATCCAGTATTATATACCTAGCGACAAAGTATATTAAAGTTTTTTTTTATTGAGAAAAAACTCATCACAATGCTCTAACGGTTCAACTAGAGAAAATGGAAAAAAAATGGCCGCATGTCTCCCCTTAGCCAACCCCTAGAATCCACTCTTGACTATGTACGGTACTTATATATAATATAATAGTGAGGGAATCTGGGCCACCATCCGTCCTCAAATGTCTGGATCAATTACAGTTTTTAAAACATTTATTTTTTTTCTGTCGGCATAGTGGAGGCTGTGTTTTTTCTACGAATAAATACACACACACACACGCACAAATGTATATTATATAATAGGTATATATATAATTTATATTTTTTTTTTTATAATCAAATAAATTCCTTGATTGTAATAACAATTATGAATAAGCTTAATTAGAAAATTCTAAATACAAAAAAAGGCAGTAAAATGTTGGTACCTATAATTGTATGTTATGATAACGGACCAACAGATAATGGCAGCGGTGTACCTAAAATGCCTACCCATAACGCCGTGTGATCATAAGGATATTTATATTCTGTATTATTGAAACACGTCGGGACTATAGATGTTTAAAACTCCGAGTACCAAGTGAGCGAATAAAAATATTATAAAAAACGGTCATATTATAATCTAATTTATATAAAGTGTAACATGTTTGGTCAACGAATATTTTAATTATGTATAGTTTTTGGATACATTAAATATTACGTATAAAATAAAAACACGTCAAATACATAATGTGTATCTGAATTTAATTTATATTAGTATACACAATTTTAAATTTTATTATTTCACAGTACTTGATTACCATATTGGATGATATTAAAAAATACAACACGTGCCTCTGAGCGTCTTACAGACGTACAGCATGGCGTGTTGATATGTTCAATATTAGAGTGTGAATTTAGATATTACTAAACTTAAGAGTAAGAATATTATCCAGGGCATCTCATAGGTTTTTATGGCTATTTAAATTTTAAAGCCAGTTTATGAGTGTTATAAAATTTCAATAGCTTACATTGTTATATCTTACTTTTTAGTGAATGTATTTATAAAATTAAACGAGTTGCCTCAGATAATATACTAGATTGTCCTACCTTCAAATTTGATGACAGGTTGATTCACTCTAATATTAAAGCTAATACCACAAAGTTGATTCTGCTGAACGAAAATCGGCCATATTGCACGTTTCTACTACAAAACGAATATCCTGCAGGTTCTTTGTTCACTTATATAATAATGTTATCTTATAACCCTTAAATATCACACCTTAAAAGTACATAATATTATACTAGAATGTACTTAAGGGTTCGAGCAAACATTCAAACATATTTTTTTTTACTCATCACTATAATAACATATTCATGACTATGTATACGCAATACTTACCTTATTATGTGTATTTTGTCACGCAGGTAACTTTGGACAGTTTTACTATCGGGAGGTTTGCTTCATACACAAACGCTGGATGTCCGGATGGTGACCTGCACATCACCGAATCGGACAGGCCGGCCGTGTCAGGTGGCTGGTGTGGCACATCTTGGGCTCCTGCCCACTACTACAGTGAGACGAATTCCATTACTCTGCTGGTTCGGTTGTACACGCTGTCCAGCCTCGACAACACGGGTTACAACTTCGACTTCCGACTGGGCTACAAAATGCTCAACCGGAACCGCGCGGTCGTCCGATACGGCGAGCAAAAAATGTTTGCGAGTAAGTAAAGTAAGCCCTCGGGACTCAATGAATATTACTAATAATTAGAATATAATTTGTAATTGTGGTCGCACTATAATACTAAAAAAAAAGATAAGATTAAAAAAAGCGGGTATAAGTGGATGTCGCTTTGCTGTACAGTAGGTTACAAGTGGGTCACTGTATAATGGATGGAATTAAATTTGAATTCAATGATACAATATCATTGTATAAGAAAAACGCTTCTGAGTGGAGACGGTATGTCAGTCTTGGTTTAAGACATATTAATATTTAATACCAATATATCTAAGTCAAAATTCGAATTTTAAATGCTTATAAAAAAAATTGTGCCTATGTATTTTAAATATTTTACAATTGCTATTGTAAAAATATATCAGGAGCCTTGCATTAAATTTTCAAGCTTTTTCACCCAACAAATAAAATTTTATTGGTATTTATAAAAAAAAAACAAAAAAATTGAAAATTGACAATGTCCGTAAACATCTCAAAAAGAGTCAAATTATTTTCAAAATTGTATCGTGTTTATAAAATGCTAATATCAACATTCAGTGAAATTTTCAAGTATCTACAGCCATTCGTTTTTTAATTACAACAAAAACAGAAAATCGTTACATGAGAAATCGAGTGAATATCAAATGTTGTAAAAATATGAATTTCAAACGCTCATAAAAATTTAATTTGACTTTCTTCTAAAAATTTTTTTTTTGATAAAGGTAGACAAACTTATGAAGAATCTTGTATTAAATTTTAAAATCTTAGATTTAAAAACAAAATTTTTTATGAATTTCTAACTTAAAATAATTTCCAAATTTTCGTCGTTTTTACGTATTTTGTCAATATTTGAACTTCAAATGCTTATAAAAAAAACTGTGACTAAGGATTTTTAATTCTTTTCATCTGCCTTAGAAACAATATACTAGGAGCCTTGTATTAAATTTTCAAGTTTTTTTAACCAACAAATAAAATTTTATTGATATTTATAGAAAAAAAACTAAAAAAATTGAAAACTGACAATGTCCGTAAACAGTTCAAAAAGAGTCAAATTATTTTCAACATTTTACCGTGTATAGAAAATGCAAATATAAACAACCTGTGAAAATTTCATATATCTACGGTAATTTGTTTTAGAGTTACACCAAAAACCAAAATCGATTTTGCATAAAAATCCCCGTTTTTCCTTAATTTTTCTTTTGTTTTTCACGTCGCTTTTGAAAATTATTGGAAATTTTTACTTTTGACCCCCCAAAGTACCAACTAGATTCACTTTCCAATCAAAAAAGTTGCTGTTGAAGAAAATCGAAGCAGTTTTACTGTCCTAAAAGGTGATGACAGACACAAAAAAAAATAAAAAAAAATAAAAAAACACGCATCATTGTAAAATCAATACATTCATCGTTCCACTCAGAATCTAAAAATAATAACTCCGAGCCAAACGACCTGGGCTGACTAAGTCTGATGATTGGAGATTTGAAAAGAGCGAAAAATAATCTTGACGTTTACATATATAAAGTAATATAGTAATGAAAAAAAACGTAATATAAGTACAATACACATAGGTACTCGTTACTCGTTATATTATTCAATATTATGTTCTTTGTATGGCTTAACATCTCCATCGTCCGAAAACTGTTGTACACTAACTTGTGCCATGGGCTTATATTTCATATTTTACAATCGAAAACCCAATGACAAACTCCATATTATCACTTAGAAACTTTAATACATTTTTTAGACGAGATTAAATTAATATACGAATGCACAAAGCAAGAATCCAAACATATTTTTATTTTCAACTTGAAAGTACAAAATGTACGGAGCTATCTAATGCATACATTATTACATCCATATAATATGTAAAATTATCTTGAATATGTGAAAAATTCATATCAAAATACCATAAAAATGTGAAATAAAAATTGCTTTTTATTCTGAATCGTTTTACATAATATTATAGTTGTGAAATAAAATGTTTTAAGTTTAGTTACCATTTGGTAGCACTTGTAAAAAAAAATAATGCAAAAATTATAAAATTCTTATATATATATGCATTATTATTATTATTATTATTATTATGTTCGAGAGAACGTGATTTAAATCGCTAACGTTGGGAATTCCAAAATATTGACGATAATATTCCATCCGCGGCCGGATGTGTGCTGCTTGGGGTGGGTGGGTCACGTATGTGGGTGGCGTTGGTCCCTGTGTATTATTAATCGGCCGATGTGTGTTACGCAGTATCATTGCAACTCGTTAGAATCCAGTATATTACGTCCACGCACTAGATTATTGAAACTTCTAAAATGTATTATGTATACACAAATGCTCGGTGCAGGCATTTACACGAAGTGGTTCCACTATTATAGGACTGCAGAAACGTGGCACGCGTAACGATATAAATAGCCGACGGGTAATCGAAATAAATAAACTCTTTGAAACAAGAGACTTATATTTTATTACCGACGAAATCGAACGGTATACGACATAATCAAAATTAATCGTCGATTGCCGCTATAAAAACACATATTCCGTTTAGCATTCGAATATTGTGCATATTATAGTTACCGTAAAAACGCTGATAAGCCGTAATTACACTAATGTTTATTACTGCAGCCCATTAAAACTTTCAGTAGAGGTTAACTTTTTAATTAACTTAAATTTATTGTCTGTACGCTTTAGCCCATTAATTGTTGAAAACTATTGTGGCGATTCCGAATTCGTCATTATACGTGTGTATATCAAAAAACAACCTTATAACGCTAAACCAAAGACCAATATTGGTGGGTAAACTGCCAAACTATGACCAACTACCAATGAAACCAATTAAGTGGCTTCATAATTTATCTGATTGCAATTTATAATATTATGTGTATAGTTGAAAGCGACAGATATATTTGTATAAGTTTCAAGTTACGACATAATTTCTAACACAAACATTGTAGATGTAGGTACACGCGTAAATATTGAAGTAAGTTATAATAAACGGAAACGCTTTTGTGTAAAGTCGCGCGTATGTGAATATAGTGTGTGCCTATAGGAGTTTATGAATATTAATGTGCATTGTGTGGTGCGAACACTGACAAACGATGTTCAAAAGTCGTGGGTGATGAAAACCTATCAGTTCGATTTTATATCAAGAGACATTCATAGGAATCACCAACAAAAGTTTCATTATTTTTATGACGGGTCGGAATGAAATATGTCAAAGTGTTATGTCGGTTGACATTTTTCATCGTCATAGACGTGGAGATAAGATTTAAACTATAATTATTTTATTATTATTATATTGATGGACAAGCAGAACTTGTGTGTAATATAATGAAACATTAGGTAGTTATATCCTTATATTATACAAATGAAATTTCGTAAAACAAAGATATTCTGTTAATGATAATTAATAATAGGATAGGATTTTGATTACTTAACGAAATTAATTCTTTTGTTCCAATATAAGACAATAATTACGTACCCACCTATTGTTGTTGGTTAATGGCTATATCACCATCTTGCTTTTTTTTTTTTTTTTAATTGATCCTGAGCCCGGCAACTGTGGCCATTAGCTATTAGTAGGTACTGTAGATTTTTGTATTGATGGTTTGTAGGTTTTTGGAACGGTAGGGGGAACACGTGTGTGTTTGTTTTGGCAGAATTTCGAATGGGGCACCCGTAGGTTTCTGCGATGCCCCGGGGGTGGGGGATGGCAGCACTTGCTCTCCGGTCACCGCGACTTGTCCGGAGAAAAATGCCGCCCGGTGGCCGAGGATCGAACCGCGACCGGCTGCGTCGCAGCGGAAGAGTCAGACCACTCGGTCACCTCGTCCCCCCATCTTGCTTTTACTTCATAAATGATGAAACGAATGTAGGACATTTATTTTTCTTTTCTTTCGACGAAATAATAATAACTTGCCTGCAGCAGTTCAATATATTTTACGGTATTTTTTTTTTTTTTTATCGGGATTCAATATTTATTATTAAATTATTTACACGTGACCTGGAACGAAATATTTATTTATGAATTAAAATAACATAAAATAATATAGTTTTTGTACGTCGGGCGGGCCAAATGGATTTATTCGAACCATGACATAAGGCACACACACTTACTGGTAAAAACATGGAAAGATAAGTTTCACCGTTCCTCCATCTCTCATGCCAAGACTCTTATAGTCTTATTAGTTTGTCGTATAATTGGTGCGCAATACTGCAGTGCAGTCAGTGTAAAATTATGAGATGATTTTCAGAATTTGCATGAAATCTGCAGTGTTTTTGGAAAATGAATTGTTAGAACAAAAGAGAAAAAGTAAAATGATGTTTATCTACCGCGGCGACAAATTTTAATTATTTTTTGACCAATAATATTGATTCGAATTTTTACCTAGCAGAGATAGGCTGACTGTAAGTAGTTACGTGCTTGGCAAAGTGGCAATATTTTATAAATTATGCAAACCGAAACCCCTCTGGTAGGCTGATTGGGACAAATTCATACAGGAATTGCGCACTTATTATTTGTGAAAAAATATAATATGAAAATATACGCGTTTGTTAAGGGATTGGGTTGGGGAAACGCTCACAAGTCTAAGTGAATAGCAATAGATGCTGCGCAGATAGTCGTCGTCATCGCACTCCATTCGCCACCACCGCTTCAACCTATCAGCTACCATCACCCCCTGTATACATTAAAATAATTCATATTGTTTTAACTATGACAATGTACTTTTAGGTGAGGTTAATGCCGTCCCTAAGAATATTTCACAAATACCTTCGGCTCGAATCCCGCCCCAAGCTAGAGATGGTATATGTTTATTACTATTGTGTATATAATATGTATATATAATATATACATCATATTATGCCCTCGCATAACGACGGTATCGATTGCTGCTTAGGGTATAAGTATATGACTTCAAGTCCGTAGAGAGGAAGGGGAGATATGTACGGTTTAAAAAAAAAATTACGTCGTTTGAGTGCACTACCAATTATATATATATATTCATATTCATGCA